TATCTCTCACACAGCTACACTCTTAGCATGCTCAAGCTACTATTTGTCAATAATAACATATTTTATCTATCTCTCACAATCAGAAAATCAAAAAAGCAGTCTAGCACTCTTGCAAAAAAATACCAAACCTGTATTTATAAGGATCCCATGAAAGACCTGACAAAGACTATGAAAATGCTGGTTAGGCATTACATGGGAAGATACATCTGCAAAAAAGCACATTTTTGTTTTCTCCTGCAGCCTTAGACAAAATAGCCACGGAGGGCAGTTCCCAGTGATCCATAGAAAGGGAGTACCCCCAGTTACCTAGAATTGCTAATAGGAGACTTGGGCAATTTCCATTCCCTGATGGCATCAGCAATCACATACATTGGTGAAGTGTGCCAGATTGTATCTATGGATACAAGAGGGGAAAACTACCTTTAAACTAACAGCTATGGATGACTCTAAGCTGCCTCAGATGTGGGCTGAGGATGAATCAAAGTAAAGTCATGCAGACATGGCAGAAAAAAGCAGTGACTAGGGCACATTAGAGGAAGAGTTCTAAGAGGGGAGATGATAGGGCGTAAGAGCAGAAGGTTAAGCAGAAGGAGGAAGGGATATTTTATGGTGGCTGAAGAAATGAGGGAAGACACTTTTGGGGTTCAGGCCCATTTTTGCAATTGCATTAAAGAACCAGTTATGTGACTCACCTATTTCCTTTTTCCTTGCCATCCTCACCTGCTGCAGCCAGGGGTGGGACTCAGTGTTTGCACCCTCTCACCACTGGAGGGCTCCATCTGAGAGGTTTATCTTTGGGCCCAGAAAGCTCTATTGATACCCCTATGCACAAGTTGCTAACAGCAATTAAAATAAGGTTCTGGGAGCTGGAATTGAATATTTCAAGTATTTTCCCACCTTTCCAGAACTTTTACATCTGTAGTGCTAATTTCATATAAGAGCTGACCATGACAAGCTCCCCAAACTTCACTCCTTTTTATTTTTTCTATTCTTTAAATATGACCTAAGCAAAAGAAAGCGAGATGAGATGCACAATAGCCAGCTTCTTTATTATTAGTGGAAAGAATCTCTATTTGGATTGTTAATTAAACTTTCCCTGTTACCAGCTCTTTATCAAATAAGTTTTAAATACTATATATGGGTGTGTTAATGTAATTTATTTAATGGGGAAAAACATAGAGATTTTAAATTAAATTTTGTCAGAATTAGGATAAATAGCAGTGAGAGTGCCACTTGAAATCAATAGGCAGATGGAATATTTACATTCCTGTATCCACCTCTAAAGCATTACACTGGAAGAAAACAAGCTTGAAGGATACCATAAAGTTACATCACTCTCCTTAAGATTTAACTCATTTTTTTTCAATCACTTTTTTCCAAGTAATACTGGTGGCAAGGAGCAATAAAGTCATAGTGTGGTAGTTTTCACAAACTGACAATATATTTTGATCTCTTTTTCCATAATCTGACCTTCCCCATCTTCTAGACTTTGACTGCACCTGCTCCATTTGCAGGTGAAACAAGCTGTCAGTGCAAAGCTCCTCATGAGAAGCTAACTATTGCTCAGGCCCGTCATGGAACACCAGGTGAGTCTGGGGTTATGCATTATAAATTAATTTCAGAATGAAATTCAACTACCTTAGTCTAGTGTCTCTAGAATTCCCAGCCAGACTAGCCTTTATAGTCTCAACATATCTAAAGAGCACCAATTTGGGAAGCTGAAATAAAACATTCATACTTGCTATTGAAGTTAGAGGAAGGGTTTTTATAAGAAAGACTTATTATATAAATAGTGCAATTAGAACAGATCAGATAAATTTTTTTCTAAAAGTGTCCAACTTCTTGATTGATAGTTTTGATTTTATTGATTTATAGTAAAGTATTGAATACCTGAATTTTGATATCTCATATGGAAATGCTGGTACTCCCAAACATGATTTACAAATGTTAGGCTTCACCCAAACCAGTGTTGGAAGTAGAAGTCTTGCAGACACATTCAACAACAAAACTTTTTGATATAGTAGTTTATTATAGATATTAGAAAAGCCATAGTACAAAAAAACCCAGTAATTTCAATTGTAAGACTCAGTGCATAGGAACATCAGATCCAAAGTTCAAATCTTATTTTTCTTTCTCTCACTCATGTGTCATACCAAGCTGAGAGCCACACATTTTTTCACAGAAAGAGCAATTGCCAGATACAGTATTTATGAAGGGAGACAGAGGGTGGCCCATTCTCAAAGAACACTGTCTTGGTGTGTTATTCCTGATTCTACATTCCACCCTCCTGTGCTCAGCCCCAGTGCTCAGTCATTGGACTTCAGTAGCTGGGCTGCTGCTACTGAATGTCAGATTGGCATGTTATAAGGCCTCCCTTAACCATGATTTGATGGTGGATGAGAGGGCCAAGCTGGTATGTGTTGCTAAAATCTGGTGGGGCACGTGTGTATGTTCCCTTCTCAGAAATGTCCCAAGTTTTGAGTGTGGCACCATCCATGACCCTTGAAAGGAGCAATGGAGTGGCTATTGCCATCAAAGAGACCCTAGTGACATTCAGAGATACTACCCCATTAGATAACTGGATATGAGATCCTGTTGATAAGGCTGGGCTCTGGGGATCAGTTGGGATTGATGCTACTGGACTAGGCCCATTCCCTGCCTGATCTGCTTGACTTTGTGGACAAGTTGGCAGTGCAGTATCCCAGACTTATGATATCGAGGGACTTCAATCTACCTTCCTGGATACAGCATCAGATGCACCACAGGAATTCATGGCCACCATGGCAACCATGGACATTGAAGGCCTAACTCACAGCAGTGGTCACATATTAGACCTGTTTTTTCTTTGGGGCCAGTGATGAAGGAGTTGGGGGAAAGTTACTATCACTCCCTTGCTGTGGTCAGATCACTATCTAATAGACTTGGAGTTCTCTGAAGTTGCTCCTTGCCACAGAGAGGATCAGTCTGCTCCCAGTATCAGATGGATTCTGTCAGTTCCAGAAGAAACAGGAGCTATTCCTGGCTTCTGATGCATGGTTTGACTGAGGCTTTAGTCACTGCCTGGAATAAGGGAATAGTGATGGCCTTAGATTGGATCACACCTCTGTGAACTCTCTCTGTTCATGGAGCCCAAAAAGCCACCCAATTATGTAAATATCACTCATAAACATTCTTCCATCTGGTAGTTTATTTCTTTATTAGGGAAAATCTCTTCGAGCTAAGCTCACCTTCTAGTCCATGTAACAGGGCAGTGGATTGCCACTGCTTTCTTTTGGGATGCAGATCAACTTCGCAGTTTAGCCCAGGGCCCTGGAATTTCCTGGAGATCTCCCACCCAAGTAGCAACCCAGGCCTGACTCTTCTTAGCTTCTGAGCCCAGACAAGGCCAGCCAGTCACTGCTTTCTTTCATCCATGGTGAACTATTTTTCTAATATGGACTTTTACTTATTTGGACAAATGGCTTAACACTGCCTGAATTTCTGCCTTGTATTTCTGTATACATGTAGCAAATATATCATTACAATCTGACTAGATTTGAGGTAAACTTCTGGTCTGACATAGAAATTGTTTCTTATGTTCATAGTGGACAGACCTGTCAGAGTCTATGCAGATGGAATATTTGATCTCTTCCATTCTGGTCATGCAAGAGCTCTCATGCAAGCCAAAACTCTGTTTCCTAATAGCTACTTATTAGTAGGAGGTAAGCCTGACATTTGAACAAATATTACTATTAGACTGATATTCTCTTTTACACAGTCTGCAAAAGAAGCACAGATTCCAGGAGTCTGTGAGTATGCTAATTTGAATTCATTGAAAAGCAAGATTTTAATTTTAACCTGTTCCTAAGAAATGTCAGGAAAGAACTAAATCCCAAATCTTGCAAATATCACATAAGCATCTGGCTGATCAATAAGGTGGGGGTTTTTTCCTCATCCAGTAGAACATCTTTTTTTCTATTTATAAAATTGACCTGTTACCTAAAGACTTGTAGGGCCTATGAAATTGGGCGAAGAAAAGAAAGTAATATTAGATATGAACATGATCAGTTTTGGATTCTTCTTTCTCAGATATTAAAACAGAAATGTAAAATGGAGCATATTGAATGTCATTTCATCCAAGTTTATACACTGGAAAATCATTGCCTCTTTCCACATGTCTGTATTAAGGAAGGCAATTGAAGAACATGTCCCTGTGACTAATATTGTGACCTATTCCATAAGAAATCGGGACAATAGCTATATCCAGAAAAAGAAATGCCATGGAGAAAGTTGCAAAGCTGAAATAAAACAATGACCAGGCTAGCTTCCCCCAATTTTAGTGCTATTTCTATGCCTTGAGACAAATCCCAGAATTTCTAGCTAGCACAGCAAAGAAAATTGCAAGAGAAGATCCACCATTCCACAGTTTAAAAGCCTTTCTAGCTGTCACACAAAGCTGTGGGACTTTGGGTTTTTTTAGATTTTTTATCCCACCTTTATTATTTTTTACAAGTAACTCAAGGTAGCAAACATATCTAATACCTCTTCCTCCTCCTATTTTCCCCACAACAACAACCCTGTGAGGTGAGTTGGGCTGAAAGAGAGTGACTGACCCAAAGTCACCCAGCCGGCTTTCATGCCTAAGGAGGGACTAGAATTCAGTGTCTCCTGCTTTCTAGCCTGGTGCCTTAATCACTAGATCAAACTGGCTTGCTTCTGAAGGAAATTCAGCTGGCAATTTCTCTCACCAACAAATCAGAGAAATTTGTCTTCAACTTACAGCTTTCCTACATAGGATAGCTTTTAATGTAATGGCCGTCCAATATAAGCAAGTTTTCATTTGTCTAAATGTGATCAAGGGACTGAAAATTGTTTTCCGATTTTAGATTGCTATTTTTATGATTTGGTTTTACAACTACTGATTTAAACTCTGAAAATAGATTTGAATAATTTCTAGCCAAAGAGATACACTATATTTTACAGGGCCACAGTTACTCTTTTTGAATTCTTCTTGCATGTATGTCAGTTTGCAGTGATGATCTAACACATAAGTTTAAAGGTTTCACTGTAATGAATGAAGAGGAACGATATGAGGCCCTCAGACACTGCCGCTATGTAGATGAAGTAATCAGAGATGCTCCATGGACACTCACAGCAGAGTTTTTGGAAAAGCATAAGGTATTTTTCTTTTTTTTTACCCCTCCCCCTATAAACTAATTTCATACTACAGGTAGTCCTCAACTTATGACCATTTGTTCAGCGACTGTTCAAAATTATGGTGGCGCTGAATGAAGGGACTTACAGCCAATACTGGAAGTTATGGCCGTTGCAGTGCCCCTGCAGTCATGTGATAAAAATTTGGGCACTTAGCAGCCCGCCCACACTTATGACCACAGTCACTTTAACTCTCCCCATCCACCTATCTTCCCCTTCCCATCTATGCCCTTTTGGCCACCCTGCACAGTGGCATTCCTTGGCGGCAGCAGCGCTGGGGCTGAATTAGAGGCCCGGCACCTTCAGCAGTCTCAGCCAGCCACCACCGCCCCCAGACCTCTACTTCAGTCCCAGTGCAGCCGACACCACTGGTGAGGAGTGCTGCCTCAAGCCCCATGCCACAGCCAGCCATCCCAGTGCCACAGCACAAAGCCTCAGCCGCCCTGCCACCCTGAGCTCCATAGACCCTGCTACACCCTGCTGATCTTCACCATCTTTTTGTTCCTGCTGCTGACAAGGCATGCCTTGCCTGGCCCTTTGCGCCAAGAAACCCCTTTGCACTGTGCTGCTGGGCTGGGATAGGTCTAGGCTTCATGCTGTGTTGTGGCTCAGGGGCTGCTTCTTGAAGAAGCCCAAGCCACGTGGTTCTGGGGCTGCTTGCTGCCCTACAAGGCAGGGTGCAGGGTAGCCAAAAGGACAGAGATGAGGGGGAGATAGGTGGGTGGGGGGAGTTGGAAGTAGTCCCTTACCTTACTGAAGCTTGGGATTGAGAGGGATCAAGCCCAGAATGGCTGGGATTGGGGTGGGTCCTAGGCTAACATCCGGTGAAATTCGCTTAATGATGGCAATGGGGATTGCCAGGATTGCCATTGCTAAGCAATGCAGTCACATGACATCTCGCTTTACAACCACATCGCTTAGCAATGGAAATTCCAGTCCTGATTGTGGTCATAAGTCAAGAACTACCTGTAGTGATGGTGCTAAATACTGCATGTTACTTTGTCATGTTTATAATGCATAGTAGCATTCCAGACTGAGAGGTCCTTTGCCACCACCCAAGCTTACTATTTTTGTAGTTCAAGTTATAATTCAAGAGTGGCAATAATTTTAATTCTTCCTTCTTTTTGCTTATAGCTGTGACGGTGGCAACAGTATGAAAATCTTCCTTCCTTTTCTTGTTTCTGTTTAGATGCTATGCTGCCAGAATTTTAGAAAATGTAATTAGGACTTGAGGTAGGGGAAAAGAAGAACAGGGATCTCCTTTCATGCTACCATAATAAAAAGGAGAAAATACCCAAAGAGGGTATCAAGCCTCAACCCAGTTCCAGTAATAACAATGATAGTGCAAGTAGATTAAAATCCTGTATGAAATCTTCCTTCCATTCAGTTTGGTGTGGCTTTAATAAGCCTTTCTTGTAGCGTTCCCGGCCCTCAAATGTCCAAAATAACCAAATTAACAATACAATTGCAGAAAACTGGATTTTCTTCAAAAAGCTTATAAGCAATTATAAGAGCTATATGTACAGGTTATTAACATATTTTGGGATGAAATGATTAATAGTGTTATCCCTGTATAAGCATATATCTAAGAAAAATCATGCTGCTTCATTGAATGATAAGATTAGCTACTCTTCACTTCCTACTACATGTTTATGTCATCCATAGTCCATTTCTCAATAATAAACAGAGATCAAATAAATAATTAGCTGTGGCTGGTCATTCCACTTATTTGGAATAATTTGCAGCATGTTAAGAAGCAAGGTATAGTAAGAGGCAAGTGATAAAAATACTGTGAGAGAAGTTTTTTCTTTAGCAATATCACTAGTTTTAGCACAGTGACTGTTTCGTTTTACTGATGTGGTACATTAAAATAAGAGAGTCAGTTTGGTGTAGTGCTTAAGGCATCAAGCTAGAAATGGGGAGACTGTGAGTTCTAGTCCCGCCTAGGCACAAAGCCAGCTGGGTGACCTTGGGTCAGTCACTTTCTCTCAGCCCTAGGAAGGAGGCCATGGCAAACCACTTCTGAAAAACGTGCCAAGAAAACTGCAGGGACTTGTTCAGGCAGTCTCTGAGAACTGGACACGATTTAATGGATTAAAAAAAATTAAAATAATTGTAACCAGCTTTAGATCCTCCAACTGATATCATATATATAACTAAAAAGGTTTTGTACTCTCATGCACTGTTCACTGATATAAATAATCTATTACAATAGTTTAAAATATCTTTGTTTAAAACTTGTTTAGCAGGTAAGGAAGTTAGGCTTCCAAAGTAAGTAAGGGCCAACTTAATTTCCTTTCTTCTGTGTTTTCAGATTGATTTTGTAGCCCATGATGATATTCCATATTCTTCTGCTGGTTCAGACGATGTTTACAAGCATATAAAGGAGGCAGGTAGGTATGCCTCCTGTTAACCTCATTATTGCTTCACATTGCCTTTAATTAGCTAAACTCATTATTGCCTCACATAACCATCAGATTGAAGAAATGCTTACTTCAGTGGACTTTTTAAAATCTTAAGTTTTAAGACCACAATAAAGTTTAAAGTTAAAGCATCCTGACAGATGGCAATATAGCCTTCCTATGGACGCTGCCTGTGAAGGGGCAGTGGGTAATTGTTCCACTGCTGAGCAGCTCTTTATGTTAGGATATATTTGTAACATTCAGTTGGAACCTGGCTTTCTGTAACTTAGATCTATTATTCTGTATCCTGCACTCTGGAATAAAAGAGAATAATCTTGACTTTCTTCTGTGTGACATCCTTTTAAGTATTTGAAGAATGTTGTTATATCCTCCCTCATTCTCCTCAAAGCTAAACATGCCCAACTTTTTCAGAAGTCTTCATTTCCATTGCCCTGATCATGCTCATTGATCTTCTTTGAATTAGCTCTAGTTTCTCTGAATCCTTCTTGGTGTGTGATTCCCAGAACAGAATGCAACACTCATAGTGGGATCTGATCAAAGTAGAAAAAGTGGGATGATTACTTCCTGTGATTTGGAAATGGTAGTCTTATTGATGCAGACTTAATTATACTTGCTTGTTTGGCAGCCACATTACACCACTGACTCATAATCAGTTCACCTAAATATCATACTATCCAGTCTATGCTTAACTAGCTTACTAATCAGAATGTCATGGGGTACTTCAGCAAATGTTTTGCTAATGTCAAAATATGTTGGATCTATCACATTTCTACAATTTATTAAAGTTTGTGTGTGTGTGTGCCTTCAATCCAACCTTGACTCCTGGCAATTGCCTGTATGAGTCCATGCAGTTTTCTTGGCAGTATTTTCAGAAGTAGTTTGCCCTGGCCTTCTTCCTAGGGCTGAGGGAGAAGACTGAACTAAAACATTAATTGGATAGCTCTGCCTTTTCTCTGTTACCTGTTAGCATTTAGTCATCTTCACTGGGCAGCTGAAATACTGATTCATTTCTTTTCCTGTTATTCTGAAGATATTTAAAGAAGACTTAAGCATCCTTTGCTATCTTCAGCTTTTTGTGAGATTTTGTTTTTCTAACACTACCTCTGCAATGTTGGGCTTCCTGCATGTACTTTTCCCTGGTAATCTGGGCACTTTTTCAGTCACTTATATGTACCCTTTTTTGTTTTTAGAACTTCACTAAGCTTTTTGTGTAGCCACATTTGCTTCTTCTACTGTCCTAATTTCTCTCTCTCCCCCCCCTCCTCCTTTTTCCCTCTTCCGATGCTTTTAGTATCTTCTTTTTTTAAGGAATGCTGAGTTATTTTGAGGTCCTTTTCCTATTAATTTCTCCTGCCATGGAACCCCAATTATTGTTCTCCAGTTATTAAAATCTATTTTTAAAGTCCTAGATATATGTTGGATTATACTCAGCTTTAGTTTTTCTTAAAATGAAGAACTCCAGAGTTACACATTCACAACCTCCTAATGTTCTAAGTACTTCAACTTCACAACTAAGTCTTACTTATGGGATAGTATCAAATCAAGCACAATTGATCCTTTGCTGGGCAGGCAATAGTAGACACCAACAACCATATTGTTTTAATCCAGGCACTCTCTATAATAGTACCAAATGCATTCAGACCATGTTACAGTGTTTTCTTTCAGCCTGTTAGTCAACAAAAAAGTAGGCTGGCATAAATTGTGCTTCTCTCTGCCAATTTGCATTCTACCTCAATAACAAGGCCAGCAAATGGTGCTGCCTTTATTATTTAATGTGGGACAAGTTAAAGAAAGGGATTAATGGATTCCCTGGCTTTGCTTCCTCACCCACAGGAAAACCCTGTAATATCATTGGTGACAGAACCAGCACCACACAGCTCATAGAACCCAGCTATCTTTCCCAGTTTAAATTGACTTTCTATGCAGCACAAAATTAAAACCCTCTCAAGAGAATGACAGTTTGGATTTTTAAACAAAGGTTTAGGACTCTCCAAAAGAATGCTAAACCCTATATATATAAGGAGCCCATGTTAGACCTGATAAGTCCTTTGGAAAGCACTGGTCGAGGATTACATGGGCATCTACCTCATCAGAAGCCAGATACCTGTGTCTCCTGAAGTCCAAGCCAAATAGCCATGGGTATGCCCATGGCACTTTAAAGTGGCCAAAAGGAGCTTGGCAGATACTATTTTCAATAGGATCATCAACCACATTCATGCCATGGTTCATACCATGGTTACTGGGATGTGAGAATGAGCCCTCATTTGGATTTTTAGGAGTGGATAATTGCAACATACAGTGCAACTTCTCCATTTCTATTACTTCTGTTCCTTTGGAACAAATGATATCCATCATCTGCTATATTGCAATAATAGGACTCATCCATTATGTGTGTGGGGGTGTGGGGGTGTGTGTGCACATCTTCAAATCAGTGTTGACCCCTGGCAACTGTCTAGACAAGTCCCTGCTGTTTTCTTGGCAAGATTTCAGAAGTGGTTTGCCATTGCCTGGGTTCATAGGGCTGAGAGAGAGTGACTGGCTCAAGGTCACCCAGCTGGATTCATGCCTAAGGTGGGACTAGAACTCACAGTCTCCCAATTTCTAGCCTGGTGCCTT